TGTGGCGAGAGCCCGTAAAGGTTAATTCCATACTTTTTTCCTTGGATGTCAATTTGGGTGACCGTGGAAAGTGCTCTTGCAGCTTCCCCACGTGATGTGCTAATGGTGATGATGTTTTGTTCTTCGTCGACTCGGATTCGTAGTTCAGCTTGTTTCCACATCAGTTTTGCTGCAGCGAGAATGCTGTCCGAAAGAGTTGATACGTGGTACTTTTTCAAGTCTAGACCGTCCTTGGGCCGGATAACCATCTTATAGTCGTCCATCGGAAGTGCTGGCGGTCTTGGAAGTGACACTGGCTTGACGGCCGTGGTTTTCGTATCGACAGAGAGGGGGGTAGGCTTGACTTTGTCATTGCCCTCGTACATCCTCTTGTTCTTCTTTGAGTGTTTACTGACGACATCAATCCAGTCCCCTTGGGTGTCCACCCCGTCTGAGTCTTCGTGCTCCAAATCTTGGAAATCCATGTTATTGTTCCGGCTCGGCGACGTGGATCTTTCATCAGGCGAACCGCGCGAGTTCGTATCTGGTAGTGGCATCTCGAAGCCGCGCCAAGCTTGGCGCTAGGCTTAGCGTGGCGGCCGCCGCTTCAGGAGTTCAAACGGTTATATAATTGTGAAAAGTCGACTTACAGTTGGGATGTTCGTGTCCCCGTGGTAGCGGTGACGTTGTCTCTCAGATCGTAGTCTCCTTTCTTCGAAGAAACCGTTCTTTTCACGATTCTGGGCTGAAACCTTGCATAGGCGAGAAATCAGGCCTCTGACCAGTCTCGTCGTCGTCGTCCTCTACATCTGTGTTGGAAAACACACGTCAATGTCGCTCAGTTCTTCTTCTTTTTCTCCCTAGCGCTCGCACAAGCCGCTTCCGACTAGCGTCTTTTCCGCTCGCTACACTGAGTTGGTACTAAGGCGAGGAAAATAAAAAAAAAAAAAAAACTTGTATTTTATTGAGAAAACGAATTCCGAGAAAGGGGACAGCAATCCCTCTCCTCCATAATCTCCTGAACAGTTCTAAAGCGACTGCTGAAGCAAAGAAGCTCGACCCCTCGGAAAGAAGAAACGGCAAACCAGTCGCTTGCGTAATTTCTCTGCTTGTCGTCTGCTTCAAGAACGTAAAATCGCCGCGGTCCTATGCGCCAACTTTCCTGCAATATTTCTCCTCCTGTCACGTGATTTCCCGCCGCGCTGTGAGTGGCCAGCGCGGAAGCTGCGGCTCTGCCGCGGCGAAAAATTTCCAACCTGGTGGAACCGTGCTGCTCAGTCGCTCCGGCTGGCCAGAGCGCCGCGACGGCAGTAATCGCGCCGCTCCAGGGCCAAAATCGCTGCATGTGAAACCCGCCTAAGTGTCGACAGCAGCGCCGACGCTGCATACTGACCGGCTACTCCTTCTCTCTCGTGCCGATTCCGACACCTCCCCTTCTATACTGCATTTCACATTACGATGTACCGCGATGGATGCTACGAGCTACACGAGCCAATCCATTGTTCGTAGCTTGCCACGTAACTTCAGGCTCCCCGCGTCGCTCAGCCGAACCGGAGGAGGACGTGACGCCCTCCGAGCTTTGAATTGACCCCGGTGATTCACCATCCTTTCCAGTCTATCTTCAGGTGAAACAAATGTATAGCCACCGTAACACGGCAAATGCGGAGCCACCCCCCCCCCCCCCCCCCCAAAGCCCTTTTTCACAACTCCCATAGTCTAGTTCGCTGTACCATTAGTAAGACACGTATGATCGTTATCAAAGTGGCCAGACCGAATTTCGAGAAGGGTCTATTGTAAGCATGGCGCCCCGACTCCGTCCCCATGTGTGCGAGCACATTCGACGTGCGCGTTTCCAGGCTGGATACAAACTGGTGCCCCAATTTTGGGTCTAGGCGGAACCGGCATTTTTCATTCCGGCTTGAATCTGACATTTTCGTACGGGCCAGCACCCCAGACCCTTTTTTTGTGTCTGAAATAAAAGATGCATACATACATACATACATAACCGTTAGGCCACACGCGCGCTTCCTCCTTGGCCAGCTGCGCGCTCGGCAATATGAGCTTATGTGTCCCCGATTTTCTGGTGTGATCCATCAGGAGGTCGTGGAGCGCTTTGCGGTGTTGTGACAAGCCTCTGGGTCGGGCCCATTCGTCTATCGTCCTCGGTCGGTCTTCCTCATGGAGGAGTTCGAGGGCTTCTTGTCTGTGTCTATCTAAACCTTTGCACTTCCAATGAAGGTGTTGGATTGTCGCCATGTTGTTCCCCGTGCAGGTCTTGCACTTTGCTTCTTCTGCTTCCAGCAAGCCAAAGCTCGCCAGTTTCGCTCGAGTGCACGCCGTCTTGGTCGTGATACGACGGGCCTGGACGGCAGCCAATCGGCTGTAGCCTGCTGGTATCTCGTCGTCTTGTGGCGGGCCAAGCGTGGAGCTATAATTTGCTGCCTCCACTGCGGCCCTGTGTGCACTCTCGGTAACGGGTATTCAACTGTGTCCAGGAAGCCACGTAATGTACAACTCGCGGTGCCCCTTACTCGAAGCTCTGTCGCCATCCTTTTTATCTTTTTAGTCGTGCAGCCTTTGGCCCTGCTGCATCTGGTCGCGATGATTGCCTCCTAAAAATTCGTAAAAATTCTGGCTTTGCTTGCCGTTACTGGCATGCTCAGGATGTCTTCGTTCGCCGCAAGAATCGCCCTGAGCTCGGCTTCTTTGACGGATTTGCCCTCCGGTAGCGCTTCGGCCCACCCCTTGTTCCCTCTTGGGTCGTGCCGTGCTGCTGCTGAGGCTCCCTCGGTTCTTGCTGCGCCGGTATAGCGTGTTTTGTCGCCCCTTCTATGTTCCTCGCACCAAGCTGCATGTAGCCTATAGCAGCCCTTGCCCTCTTCCCTTCGTTTAGGGCTTTAGGGAGTCGCCAATGGTCTGTGACTGCCTCATCTTACCACGGTGGAAGGGGCTCTTCAAGTGTGGGCTTGTTCCCTATGTCGTACCCCAAGTCCTCTAGAAGTCGACGACCTTGCCTGGTCCGCTCCAGTCGTTGAAATTGTGCGATGTTCTCTGCGTCGTCTCTGTCCTCAATACGGCTCATCTGAGCTTGCCTCGGCTCTTCGAGTGGCGTGAAGTTGGGAAGGCCTGTGATCACCCTCATGGATCGGTGATTCAATTTTTCTAGCTTCTTCCACTGCCCGCGGATGAGATTTAGCAAGTTCCAGCTATATAGAGCTCTTGACGTGAGCAGGGCTTCCGCCAGGATGCGAAGAGCCTTCTCGTTGGCGCCCCATGACTTGTTGGTTGTTTTTCTAATGAGCTTCAAGCCCTGAACCCAGTTTTTCTCTATCTCTGGGAGCCATTTCGTACTTCTCGCCGTTTCCACGAAGGTGACTGCGAGGATTTTGATCTGTGGCTTCCTGCCAATCTCTTGCCCGTTTATCTCGAGTACTATCGAGTTGGCGATTCCTTCCCGATGGTCTCGGGCCCTGGCTACTGCCATGTATTGCGTCTTCTCAGGGGACGCTTCCGTCCCGGACTTGAAATACTCCAGGACTTGTTCTATGCCGCGTTGCACCGCCCATCCCTGCTCGCCTAAGGATCCGCCGCGGGTCCTGAGTGTCACGTCATCAGCGTAGACGGTTAAACCTAGTCCTTCAATCGTACGAAGTCGGATCGGCAGAGCTGTTATCACCATGTTGAAGACGACCGGCGATATCATCGCCCCCTGCGGTACTCCTCTGCAGTTCGGCTCATGAGGACCTTTGGTTTCTCCTATTTTCACCTGGAAGTTTCTATTGCGTAGGAAGTCCCCCATGAAATTCAGTGCCCTGCCTCAAATGCCGCATGCCTTGGCTCCTCTAGCGACAGCCCAATGAGGGACAGCGTCAAAAGCCTTTCGGATGTGGAAAGCAACGACAAGTCACGGATCTTGCTTATTCTTGTCTGCCATAACTTCTTCGTAGAAAAGTTTGAGGCTGTCATAGGTACCCATTGCCTCCCAGAAGCCCGTCTGTCTGGGATCTAGGCACTCGTGCTTCTCCAAGTACCACTGAATCCTCCTGTGTACAACCTTCTCCACCGTCTTTCCGACGTTAGATGTCAGGGAAAACGGCCGCAGATTTTCAGTTCGATCGAGTGGCTTGCCGGGCTTGGGTATCGAAGTCACCCAGGACAGCTTCCAATCCTCCGGCAGCCTCCCCGAATCCCAGACCTGGGAAGCTAAGCTCGGGACGGAGAGATCAAGGCGAGTTCTCCGTCGAACTCGCCGCCCTCCGCGATTGGTCGGCGCCGTGCATGACGACATGCGCCGTCACTCCTTAGATTGTGACGTAACAGCGGAGGGTTTGAGGCAGTCGGAGAGTGGCATATGCGAAACTCCCGGCGAGATGCTGTAACGTCCTTGTGACGTGCGCCGCCGCGGATAGGAAAAGCTTGCCGGCTCCGACCAAGGCGAGTTTGGGCGAGTTTGGCGCTAGATGAGCGAGTAGCGTCCAAAATGGCAGCTTTTTGGTTCGTGTTTCGCCATCGGCGTAGGTATTTAAGCTACGCCAATGTGTTTGACATGAACGACGTTGATTTTCAACAACACTATCACCTCTCGAAAGACGTGGTAAGGTGGCTGTGCGATGAACTCCGTGGCGATCCGGGCTTGAGGCGATGGAGCCATGAATGGACCGTCGTCCCCGTCGTGAATCCTACAAACAAATTCTACAAAGTGCATCCAAATACTTTACGAGGGGTGGTGAATCCTGGAAACAAACGTGTTTTACGGCAATCTGCAACCAGGAGCGCAATTTATCATTACCTACAGGCTTTTACCATTATTCTGATGGTTTGCTGCACCGCGTAGATGCAAGGAAAACGCACTTTGTGGCGTGAGCTTCTTTTGAACTTCCCGCTTTTTATAAGCGAGGCACGGACGCGCGTGCCTTGGTGCCCGTGACTTGTGCAGGAGCACGAGGGAATAAACATTATTTTTGGTTTGCCGTGACACGGAGTCAGTCGCATTTCTTTCGGGTGCCACCGAGCACCGATACATGGTGTCAGAAGTGGGATCCCGTCGCCTCTGAAGCTTCGGGCGTCGCCTTGCGGTTGCGGACCACACCGAGTCATGGATCGGGCAAGCGTCGCCACCGGCCTCGCCCTCAGGCCGCCTGAACCCTTCCACTTTGGGAACGCTTCGGAGTGGCCGGCGTGGATCGCCGAGTTCGACGATTTCCGTCACGCAACCGGACTGGTCGCACAGAACGAAGAAACCCAGGTACGAACGCTTCTCTACGTCATGGGTCGCCAGGCTAGGCAAATTTTCAACACCTTCAGGCTATCTGACGCTGACGCCAAGAAGTACGACACCGTGAAAGCGAGATTCGACGGTCACTTCATTCAAGTCAGGAACGTAGTATACGAGTCTGCATGTTTTAACAGACGGGAGCAGGGGCCCACTGAAACAGTGGACCAATACATAACCGTGCTCTACAACATGGCGGACCGATGCGACTACGGAAGCCTCCGTGACCGCCTGATTCGTGACCGCTTCGTTCTTGTGCTGCGAGACAAGTCACTCTCGGAAACTCTTCAGTTAGACGCTGCGCTCACTCTGACTTCCGCGCTTTTCAAGGCTCGACAGAAAGAGTCTGTTCACAAGCAGCAGCAGTTGTTGAGAGAGACTGAAGTGCAACCGCCTGTCAAGACTGAAGACGCCGACTTCGACGCAGTGGCGAAAGGCTCGTTGTCTAAGCCTCGCAGCGCGCTATCTTCTTCGAATGCGAAGCGAACCTCAAAAGCAAAACAACCAAGCTCCACGTGCGGTTATTGCGGAGGATTGCGTCACGCTCGTTCTGAGTGCCCTGCGCGAGCCGAAAAGTGCGCACGATGCAAGACCAAGGGTCATTACGCACGTGTCTGCAAAAAGATGCCTGGAGGAACCAAAGGCATTTCCTCAGTGGAACAGAATTCAACACCGACGGTTTTTCTGGGCGCCGTCGGGGAGTTCGGTAAACGTCCAGACGCCAAGTTCACGACGATAACCGTGAACAACGTTTCGCTGACCGCAAAGATCTACACCGGTGCAGAGGTCTCAGCGGTCCCTGATACATTTTCGGGAATACCGTCTTCTGGCCTACGCTCAGCAGAAGAGCTCCTTTCGGAGCCCAGTGGACATGCCCTGAAGGGGTTGGGGAAGTTTGACGTTGTCATGAGATGGAAGGACAAGCTCACAAGGCAAAAGGTTTACGTCGTATAACAACTTCGCACTGCCCTTCTTGGATTGCCTGCCATACAGAAGTTAGGACTCGTCAAGTTTCTCTGCAGCACCGAACGCTTCGAGAAGCGCTTTGCTCGACTCTTCAGCGGCCTTGGGACACTTCCAGAAGAGTACACCATCCGACTAGACCCGGCGGCGGTGCCTTACTCGCTGAGCGTCGCACGTCGCGTGCCCATCCCTCTGAGAGATGCTGTCGTTCAAGAACTCAGAAAGATGGTGGATCTGGGCGTCATTCGCCCAGGTGAAGGTCCAACCGACTGGTGTGCTGGGATTGTTCCAATTCTGAAGCCTTCCGGAGAAGTAAGGATATGCATTGACTTCACTCACCTCAACACCTCCCTCCGACGAGAGCGCTATGTACTTCCAACTGTGGAGGAAACGCTTGGCCAGCTGGGGGCGGCGGCAGTGTTTTCGAAGTTGGATGCTAATTCCGGGTTCCATCAGATCCGTCTCTCTCCCTCGTGCCAAGGGCTGACCACATTCATCACCCCAATTGGCCGTTTTTGCTTCACGCGACTACCTTTTGGGATAACATCAGCTCCGGAATATTTCCAAAAACGCATGTCTGAGATCTTGAGCGGACTGCCCGGAGCTCTCAACCTCATGGATGGTATATACTTGTTTTCGGCAAGGACCAAGCTGAGCATGATGCGAATGTGCACAAGACTCTCAAGCGCCTAGATGAAGCTGGAGTCACCCTCAACAAAGCCAAGTGTGTCTTCAGAAAAGGGAAGTTACCTTCCTTGGATGTATCATATATCCCGCCATGGTGTTCGACCGGACCCAGCAAAGGTCAAGGCAATCAGAGATCTTCCGGCTCCAGAGGATCCTGCCGGCGTCCGTCGGATCCTTGGAATGGCGAACCATCTGGCAAGGTTTCTTCCGAACTTGGCACAAATTACGGCGCCGCTCAGAGACCTGCTTCGAAAAACGTCGGAGTGGACCTGGGGTCCCCCACAAGCAGCCGCTGGCTGCTCTGCAAGGCGTCAAGGATCTCCTGTGTTCAGATTGTCGCATGGCTCACTACAATCCGTCGCATCCCACAATACTCTCGGCGGATGCGTCTTCACACGGATTAGGAGCAGTCTTGCTTCAGGTCCAGCCGGATGGGAGGGTAAGAGCTGTGGCCTTCGCATCATGTCCCTTACCCCGACTGAAACCCGATACGCTCAGGTGGAAAAAGAAGCATTGGCTTTGACCTGGGGAACAGAGCGGTTTCAAGACTTTTTCCGGGGCCTAACGACAACATTCCAGACCGAGCATCAACCTTTGCTGACGCTCTTGGGAAAGTCGGCACTGGATGTGCTCCCTCCTCGCACCCAGTGCTTCCGCATGCGTCTGATGCGGTTCAGCTACAGAATGCAGTATGTTCCTGGCAAGAGCATCGCCACGGCTGATACTCTATCAAGGGCTCCGGTGGGTGAGGAAGAGCCAGCGGAGACACTGACCTGCGCTGAGGTTCAGTCATTCACTGTTGGAGCAGTGATGGGACTCCGAAGCAGCTCTCTGCATCCAGTCAAAGAAGCCTGGGAGAAAGACAAAGTTTGCCAGATGCTTCGGGAGTACTGTATGAACGGATGGCCATCAAAGTCAAGACTTCCTCTCGACGTGTCGCCCTTTTGGCAGTACAGAGGAAGCCTGTCCCACTGCGAAGGCTTTCTGCTCTATGAAACCCGCAACCTTATTCCTGACTCCCTAAGGAAGGAGATGCTGAAACTACTGCACGAGGGACACCAGGGAATCGGACGGTGCAGGCAGCGCGCGAAAGAAGCTGTCTGGTGGCCAAGCCTGTCGTCCGAGCTGAGAAGGGTTGTCAATAACTGTGTTGTATGCACGAAGCTACGTCAACAAAACGCCGAGCCTCTCATGCCAACGGTGACGCCATCTCTGCCATGGCAAAAGGTTGGGCTGGACTGGTTTCAGCTGCGAGGCAAGGAGTATTTGCTCCGCGTTGACCAATTGACTAATTGTATTTGTCCAGGAGTCTTTTCTTGGCTTCTTCCGGAAGATTTCTGAGTGCTTGATAAGTGACCCTGTCCGGGCCGGGGGCGCTGTTGGTCTTTGTTGTGAAGAGCGCGTCTATGAGTTCTCCCATGCCAAGCTGCAGGGGGCTAAGCTCGGCGCGGCGAGATCGAGGCGAGTTCTCCGCCAAACTCGCCGACCGCCGCGATTGGTCGGCGCCGTGCATGACGACACGCGCCGACACTCCCTAGATCGTGACGTTAAACGGAGGGTTTGAGGCAGTCGGAGAGTTGCATATTCGGAACTCGCGGCGAGATGCGGTGACGTCATTGTGACGTGGCAGAAGCCGCCACGGATGGGAAAAGCTTGCCGGCTCCGACCTAGGCGAGTTTGGGCGAGTTGGGCGCGAGATCAGGGAGAAGCGTCCAAAATGGCAGCGTTTTCGTTCGTGTTTTGCCGTCGGCATAAGTATTTAAACCACGCCAATGTGTTGGACATGGACTACAATCATTTTCAACAACACTATCGCCTCTCGAAAGACGTGGTAAGGTGGCTGTGCGATGAACTGCGTGGCGAACGGGGCTTGAGGCGATGGAGCCGTGAATGAACCGTCGCCCCCGTCGTGAATCCTACATCCAAATTCTACAAAGTGAATCCTAGAAACAAATGTGTTTTTACGGCAATCTGCAACCAGGAACGCAATTTACCATTACCTGCAGGCTTTTACAATTATTTTGATGGGTTGCTGTGCTGCGTATATGCAAGATAAACGCACTTGATAAAATTCAAACTAAAACAGATGATACAAGAAAAGCAATATACATGAATGGCGCAGACTAACAACTGTGTAATTTCTTTCTCATCTTTCTTCTTCCACACCGTATTTTGACAAACAAATTGGCCGTTAGTTGTTTATACAGCAGGAGAACATGCCAGAACATTGTCACCTACTGTAGATAAGCAATTTAGCCAGTGCAGTATGACTGCTAGCCTAGGGTCTTTAACGTGCACCACGTAGTAGTGATACACGACCGCATGCCGGTTCGATGCTCATCAACATCGAAAAGGGCAGGGGTGGGGGTGAATCCACGATCCTGGGTTCTGCAGCGCGAGCTTTCGCTCCACGTGCACCCTATTCTGAAAAACAAAAAAAAAAATATATATATATATATTGTGGCTGTGTGGCGGTGTGGGGGGAGAAAGATGAGAAAGAAATTATACAGTTGTTAGTCTGCGCCATTCCTGTATGTTGTTTTTCGTCTATACTCTGCTTTAGTTTATATATTTATCAAGAGCGTTTTTCTTGCATCTACGTGGCGCCAGCAAACCATCACAATGTCTAGTCAACTAGCCCACATCCAAGCAATGTTTGTATAATTAGCATCCCTGCTGTTACCTATTCTTATTTGACATTTACGATTTAAATAAAAAAAAAATTGGGCTGTATGTATGTTGATACTGCCTAAAACTTGGTCTGCCTTAACGGGGGAGATTCTCCCAGCTGTAGATGAGAAATTTAGCCATGCAGTGCCGTACAACCGCTAGCCTGGGGTCTTTAACGTCCATCCCGCAGTAGTGTTACACGACTGCACGCCGGTGCGATGCTCATTAACATCGAAACGGGCAGGGGTGTGGATTGAACCCAGCATCCTGGGTTCTGCAACGGACCTTTCGCTAGACGTGCTCCGAGCTGGTGTGCGCTAGCCCAGCCGGCCACCGATCCCCCGATTTAAAGGGGTCATGAAACGATTTTCCTACTTCTTCCTCCTTAGCTTTAATCCTCAACTCAAATGCGAATTGTGAAATTACGTCGTCGTGACATTCCTTCGGCACCGGTGCGATGACCCCTAGGTTCCACCGTGCTTTTTATGCACACCATAGTACTTGTCATTCCCCAGTGACAATAAGTTCCGTCAGGGCACTCATTGGCCACAAACGCAAATCCAAATATTCGTCGACGGATTGATTGTTGACGAGCACATACGTCCGAGTGACGCAGTTCTCGTGTCCAATGCGTGAGCTGGGCTCTGCTGACGTCAGTTTGGCGCCGGTGACGCGCTTTTGGAACAGCGGATGTACATAGTGAAAAGGCGGACACCTTTCGAAGGCAAGAAGGTACAAAATAGTCCGCTATATTTTCAAAAGTTCGTACCGAAAAGCTGGCTTTTGACTTTCTAGCCTCTTTCTTTTGGCCAACTAAACGATATGCGATTAGTAAAGTCCCAATTTAAAATCATTCATCCCAACCCAAAATTCGTTTCATGGCCCCCTTAGATTAAATAAAAAACCTTCACTGCGGAGCGTAGGGAAAAATCGGAGCTACGCTGGGGAACTCGCCGCCGCCGGGGAGGTCGGAAATGTAAGAGGGGGGACTGGGAAACTCGCCGGGGCGGAGTCAAAAGAAGCTCCCCTCCCTCGTGACGTGGCATCGGAGAGATTCCCGCCGAAAGCGAGCTTAGCCCCCCCCCCCCCCCCCCCCCCCCCCCCCCGATTTTCCATCCCAACTTTTAGTGGCATGGCCAAGTCCTCGGCTGTTGCTCCGGGGGTCGTCGGTGCTCCGTCCTCGGGGAAAAAAGTTCACCGGCCTTGATTGCTAACTCCTCCTCGCTTATGTTTAGCTTAAGGGCGAGGTTCCGTGCCGCATTTCTCGTCCTGCGCTTCCTTCCGTTGAGGCCCCGGTAAGTTCGCCATGCCTTTCCAAGCGTCGCATGGTTTAGCTTGATTTTGTTCCGTAGTGTTTTCTTTTTACCGTATCTCTGGAGCGCTTGTAGCCGGCTAGCCCAGAGATTGAGTACGTGATTGTCAGGGGTGGGGGAATCGGTCTTTACCAATATCTCGTCTTGCCTTCTCGGAGTGCCTTGCGTATGCTCATCTCGGCGTCTTGACCGTCTTCCACTTCAAGAAGCTCCCGGCAACGGTCCCACTTTACCACCGCTCCCTTCTCCCTATAGCCTGTCCCTTGGCCATGTCTGAGCTCATAGGCGTAGACTTTGAGGGGGGGGGGGGGGGGGGGGGGGGGGGCATCGTGGCTCGTGCTTCCCCCGGGCCCGGGCCATGATCCTTACCGAGATGCTGTTTACGTGCCATGTAACGAGCTTCTAGTAGTGGCATGTAAACAAAATAACGCACACGTTGCCTTCATTGACGCCAGACTCTAGCTGACAGAGGTCAATTTCGGCTCAAAAAATACGTTTTTCTTCAGTAGTCCGCAAAAAATTTTTCAGGCTGAAAAATTACTTCCTAGATAGTCCTCAAACAAGGCATTTGCAGATGGAAGTCAGGGGCCTTTTGCTCCGCTGGTTGGTCAATAGACCTTTTTAAAAATCCCCCAAGCGCCCCGGCCCGCGCGCGAAGAATTGTTGGAGAGACTGTCCCTCGCCTGGCCACTCTGCCTGCAAAAAGACTGAAGTTCCCTCAATCCATTCCGGCAGCGGCGGCGTAGTCAAATTGGCTGGTGAGATCGGTGTATTTGGCAATAGGTCAATTGGAGATCTTATGATGCCCGTCAGATTGGCTGGCACCCCAGCCGGTATTCAAACACCCGAATTAGGAATTTATATGCCAGCGCGTTGGTTCAGAGCCATTGAGACACTTTAATGTGTTGTCATTTGTTTTAATATCACTGCCAGTTAAAAGCCACCGAGGTGGCTGTAAAACAAAATATAGTCGAACCATTCCGACAACCCATAGTCTCGTCGGGGGAAACATGTGTAGGGAGTCATAATCTAAGGTAAATCAGCGTCGATATCCTAAAACCTAACAAATGTAGGGTGTCACATAAACACGTTTTCTCAAGAAAATAATTTGGACCACGTGCATTCCTGAACTATATTCTTTACTTTACATAATCAATAGAAATTGACTTACAACTGCAGTGACACCGATGGCTGCTACGAGTATGGAAATATTATCACTTCCTTACAAACTCAACTAAATAAAAGGCCGTGGTGATGATTTTTTTCTTTATCGTTAAAAGGGTCAATACTGAAAAATGAGAAAGTGAAATTATTTTTCACACTGTGACGAGGCAAACGACATTGACACCGAACTTGATGCGCACTACCCTAATGTAAGCTTGAGACGGGGCCGGGTGGCGCGACTTGAAATAATATTATTCAACTGGCCGTTACTGCATCTGTCTTTACTCCACCCGTACCGAAATATTATTTAGAGGCTGTTTAATATTAGCATTTTATGAACACTTTATTATATTTATGAACTCCAATATTCATATTATATATAAATACCCAGGTAGCACAGTTCGTCGGGCCAAAATAAGTGTTTTGTGCTAGTCTAGGGTCCTAAAAAGCAGAAAAGACTAAGATACGACCGCAATTGGCAGGATAACTTGCTCGCTTTATATAGAACTTTGAGACTTTTTTCTTGCAACTAACATACCACCCATAAGATAAAAGAGTAAGCCCTACAGATTGCTGCGAATTAATAAAAAAACGAAACAAAAAGTGTCGTCTTTTTTGTTTGTTTCTGAAATTTTTACCGTTCTACATGTACATCTCGCGCGCACCTGTGATTTAAATGTTGGCGTAAAATCACATGACCTAGTTATACTTATACAGGGATGATTCCGACACATGTGACATTCTTCAGAAGTTACACCTTTGCTGCGGCCTCTGCCTCTAAAATTCTCCTGAAAGCCATGTCCAGCGCTCCGAGCTTCTTCGAGGAACGAGTCGCTCTCGTAGTCGGAGGCGGCGGGGGAATCGGCAGATGTGTGTGTCTCGCTTTCGCCAAGGAAGGCTGCCGAGTCATCGTGGCTGGAAGGAACTTGGACAGAGTTGTGGACGTTGCCAAGTCCCTGCCGGGTAAGAAAAATTACGGCCACAAATGGACGTCATTTCATTTTTCATTTATTTTTAGCTATATTCTGCTAGCCAGTGGTAGGAACCAACGAGCCACTCAGGTAGCACTGTAAGCGCAACGTCATGACGTTCAGCTTCTTTTAATGCGTGCCCATACGCCGGTTCCTCCAATTAAGCGGAGAAGGTGCGCCGTAACTTTACTTTTAACTCTTTGTGCATGTGTTTGTCTGTTTT